GGGGGGGGGGAGGGGGCAGCGTAACGCGTAAAATGCAAAACAGGTACAGCCTCGTTCCCATCGTATATTAACGATTCGACGCCTTAGTGGGAGGACGCAACGTCCCGGCGCCATGGGCCCCGATAGAATTTGAAGCGTTACATTAGTCCGACTAATGACCGACATGACTGTCCGTAGGTAGATACCGGTTCTTCGAGATCTCTGAGGGAGCATGCCCCGGAGATCGTTGCACATGAGAGAGCAATACGGAGGACGATGATCGCCTCTCCGCGATGAGGGCGCCACGTACTCGAGTGCATCTGCAGAAACGAACGGCTCGTATGCGCTCGCGGGAGTGTCGTGAGGCGGCTATTGAAACGCGATGAATTTAACGGTTCTCGTCTCCCCCCCCCCCCNCCCCCGATCCCCCTTCTTCCATGGAAATTATTCGTCTCTCAAGGAGAGACGGGAGCTTCGCTTATCGGAATTAGATCGGGAATATCGGGGCTTTCGTGAAGTGTCCGATTAAAAAATTTTTTTCATCTCAAGTCTCGACGATCTCCGCGGTAAGAATATTAAAGCCGATGTAATCTTGAATGCGTAACTGTAAATTCTTCTCAGTCCATAAGGATCGAACGGAGGATGACTATAAATTAATGCGACACGCTCTAGCCGGGAGAGCTTTCCAAATTTATCCCGAACTTCTTTCCCGATGAGCAGGTGAGACGACTCACGCGAACGCGTTTAAACTATCGGGATTAGACGCGAGTTTAAACGTACGTTTCGGGGAAGAGCCGACGTGGAATTTGTTGGAGACCTCCACCTTCCTAATAATTCCACGTTTAGGCGAGCACGTACGGTCGCGGGGGAGGTTTCCCAGGACACCGGATTTCAGATCTCTCTCTGTCTCCGGTCTAGCGGAATGAGAAGACACAAGGGTGCGCCAGAATTAGAAGGAGAGACGGCGACACGCTCCGAGATTGTAACAGGAAACGCGAGCTAGCGCCGATCGTAAGTCAAGGAAGCACTCTCGCTCTTAAAAGCCCGCAGCTCGGGGAAAGAAAACGGAGCGCCGCGGCACGCGCGCTAATTCATAGCTCGCTAGAGTCGAAGCGACAGTCCTCCTCGTTCCTTCTCGGCCGTATTTCTCGCCTCGCTTGAGTCGCGCGGGCCGGGAATTTTGGACGGTGGTAATGAGGCTTAAGGGACGCCGGTGTAATCAGTGCGCCCAAACTCGCTTGAGAATGGCGCGCTCTCTCTCTCTCTCTCTCGCGAGCTTCGCACCACCGAAATTAAATTCCTGGTGAGTTACGCGGCCGCCGACCGCCGGGGCGAATTCATCACGATGGTTGCTTTTCTTAATGAGTGTCAAACTGCGCTTTCCACGCTCCCGGGAGCTTGTCGACGGAGGGGCGTTTGAGCTCGCGAAATACTGTCGCAGTCGAAATGACGCACGACACGGCAGTCAAGGTGACTTGTTTGATGTACTTTGTGTCAGCCGTGCGTCCGAACGGAATAACAAAACATCGAGAGGCGGGACACACTTCACGTCGTGAGAAATAACACGAAAGATCGTATTTCTTTCTCCACCACCACTCGAGTCTCTCTCATTGACTCGACGTTCCTTGAACGTACGTATCATGAAAAGCCGTTAGAAATCATGGCCGACATCAGTGTCCAAAATGGAGATAGATGCCATTTTGTCGTATGGAAATAAGTGAGACGAAACGGCGCGTATAGAATGCTCGGGCTTTAGAACCGCAGGAATGAGCCCGAGTTTTCGGAGCTGTAACGCATCTTACTTCCAGGACGGATTCCGCGAATCAGTCGTTCGACCGAGCAGTCGTATTTCTTAGAACTTAAAGCGGAACGCGTCGGGAGCATCGGTGTATACACACTCCTCGCGTACTTATGCTCCGTTCGAGAGATCGGCGGATATTCGAATATAAGTGAATAGCCATGAGAAGACGTACTTGGAAAAAGCGGTGTCGCCGTAACCGTGCTCGCCTCAGGAACGACGTCGAGCGGCGTGCGCTAACATTGAGATAAGAAGAACCGCTCCAAAACTCACGTCTCGCGAGCAAGCGGCGTAATACCGTCGCGCCGGAGTCGCTGCTGCCGAGAGACACGACCGAAGCGAGAGCGGCGGTGGCTTCGTGCGATTCCGTCGACGCTCGGTGCTCCCCTCAGCCAGCCGAGTCTACCGACGCGAGACGAACGGCCGCGACGGCTCGCTCGGTCGACAGACGCGTCCGCGACACGGAGCAGTGAGGTGGCGTTCGCTCAGTTCGTCACGAAGCGCAACCCCGGCAGCTCGCGAAACTCCCGACTAACCGACTTGAACGTCGCGCCGCGTGAGAGTCGCGATACTCGTGTGTAACCGCATCGTTCGATCGTACGTTTTCGAACCATCTCCGGAGTACGGTGGGAATGTTGGAGTGCGACTTTTAGCCAAAGTGCGACACGACGACTGCTACACAGGATACTGCAAGTGTTCGCCGCCGAAAAGGATAATACCACCGTGAGATCCCAGTGTACCCAACAGTGAGATTTGACGTGCTACTGCCGACAGTCGAAGTAACATCGAATCGGAGTATCGATTATCCGTCTCTCGACACACGGATACACGGCGCGCACGAGAAGTGTAGATTCGCGAGTCTAGTGTCGACACGGGGTACGCGAGATTCGCGCGTTCTTGATCTCCGTTGGGAACTTCCGATACGAGATGCGACCTGCTGTCGCGTGCGTTCGCTAGCTCGACGGCGACCGACGGGTAGTTGCCGCGCGCTCCGACGGTGGTGTGGCTGACAACGCGCTGCACTCGTAGCGTCGGCGGTATCGCGAAAACGATCGGTAGCAGCGTCGCTTTTGTTTCCGAGAAAATTCCGGGAAAACCCGAACCAATGAGCAGCCTGGCGAGCTGTGCTCCAGGCGGGATAAACACGGGCTGGATCCATGGGACCGGCGCTATCTCGGACACTACCGACAACGACGCGCCGAGAGAGGCGAATCGAATTTGATCATTACGACTTCGAGACGCTCGAGGTCGGTGCTTCGCTGACAGATTGAATCTGTGACGGAAGTTTCGCGCCGGTGAAGCGCGCCCACCGATTTCTTCGGGGGATCGTGGGAAACCGCCGAGAATCGTGGAAAAAAAAAATCATACTGCAGAGCGTCATCCTCGACGAGCATCGGCGCTCTCTCCGAGATCGTGAGAGTCCGCGATGACGGTGTAAGTGACAGAAGGTCGCCCTCGATAAAGTGGATAAGGGGGATACGAGAAAAGTGTCGCAGGATCCGGCGACTTTCCGATCACACGGTCAAAGTGGAGTGTGGATGTGGTGGAGGTGCGACGACGGTGGTGGAAGAAGTAGTAGGTGGTTGTGGACGACTGCAGCGAGGTCGGCGGGTGCGAAAGTGCGGGTGCCGTTCGTGTCGGTCATCGAATCCGGGTGCCCGTGGTGACGGTGCTGATCGTCGTCCACATTGTTACCATGGTTTCCACGTCTTTCGTGACTCTGGTGTTCCTCGTGTGCCTGCAAACGGTTCTACTGTCGACTGTGAGCAACTGCGCGAAAACGATCACCATGTACTGGAACACCACCAATTCCATGTAAGTGCGCGTCCGAGTGTGATTTTACCGCGTTGATTTTGCCGCGATTATCGCGTCGCGATTACCGCCGATCGATCGATCACATAATCCGCGAGTGCGATGCCGCGGAGTGAAAGAAAAACCAAACGAGAATGGAGAAGTGAAAATTTCACGGGAATTCGTGATCGCGTATGTTCGTCCAGTGCGACGGGATGCGGTCGGTTGAGAATAGTGGAGAACGCTCGGTGCGAATTATGTGATCGATTCGCGGCGATCGCGACGGAACGCTCGTCGAAACGAATAACGACCGGTGAAATTCCATTTCGATCGAAATCTCGATTGATGGGAACGATTAAATTCCGTGGCAATTCTCTTCTCTCTGGAAATAATCCTACTTCGCAGAAATCGGTCGTTTTTTTTTATTTTTACGAAATCTCTGGCGCGTGGACGGTAATTTTTGTAAAATATGTTACAGATTTCCGCGAATTAGGTTCCGCGCATATGAACTTTTCCTTTAAGCTGAAATTAGTTCGAACGGATCAGACATTAAAGACCCCACAAATTTAGCCCCGGAATGGCTGTCTGACTTCGATCCGTGATGAACCTAAATGTGGAGTCAAAATCCAATAGTGCTAAATATTCAACGAGAATACGGGTCCCGATGTTAGAATCCATATGCCCTACATCTTCCCGTAAAAAAGAATTATCCTCGTACAGCCATCTGTGAACGAGTTTGAACGCAGAATCGACTTGGCCCGTTCACGTAGCGACATCTCTTAAAACCCTCCGTAAAATTCATGATCGTGACAAATCTCGATTTTTTTCTCTCTCTCTCTCCACGCCTGCACTTTTCTCCGCTATTCCTCTCTCGTCCGACGTGTCGGTCTTTTCCTTTGTCGTTAGTGACTGGCGCGAGGGAGAACTATATCGCGTTTGGCGCGCGTGCCAAGACGTTTAAAGTCGCCCGAGTGCTCGCGGCCGAGCATTTTGCCGGCGAATCGATTTCTCACGGCGGAACCGGCGTCGTCGTTTCGAATAACAGCCACCCTCCCCTCGGGTCTCGCCCTCTCCACTTCCGGCGTGCTTTTATCGCGCCGGGCGTGGTATCGCGTCTGCCAAAATTGCTGCGGCGCGGCCGTGTGTACGTACGACTTTAATGCGCCCGGCGAATTGGCCGATCCCGACCGGCGTTTCCTCGTGACGTCCAAATTGCAGGCGATCGTGGAGAAAAAGAGAGGCGGAAGCGACGTGTCAGAACTGCGCCGGGATTATGGCAGGCGCAATATTGTAGACCGACGTTGCAGTCGCGCGCGAACGTGTTTTGTTGCATCGCCGCGAAGCGCACGATGCAAATCCTGAAGAAAGTTTCGTGTAACGGTGTGGTGGTGAGCGATTCCGTGATTGACGAAAAAGGAACAATCCTGCGATGGGGGGGGGAGAGAGAGAGAGGAGTGGGCGAAACTTTTAAATATCGAAAATTCCGTAACTGAAAGTTTCAGATCTCTGAACCGAGCGAGCCGAAATTTTCGGAATTGTCGGCTAAAAAGTTAGAAGTCGCGGACTGAGAATCTCGTAGTTGAGACGCTTCAAGATTTCGACGATGACGATTTTATGTACGGTCTCGACGTTGGAAATATTCGGAATTGCGCTGCTTTCGGCATGTCGTCGTTCGTTCGCGCCACGTCCCGTAACCGGCGGAGAAATCTCCGTTATTAAGAATACCGCGAGGCAAGCTCGGCGGTCCCGCTTAATCCTCGATTGTGCGAACGATATCGCCTTGCTACGGCCTAACCGCTAATGTGTCTTTCCCTAATGCGACATATCTTTCGCGAGTGGCGGCGTGCAGCGCTCTTTAGCGGTAATTGATCGATAAGAGGCGACCGAACACGACTCCTTCCAAGACCGAGAGTGGCGGTGCAAAACTGCAATGAATTGCGCATGCATGCACATATATATGTGTGTGTGTATATATATATATGTATATATAATGCGTGTATATAAGTGCTGCATTGTGACCGACTTCTTAGCTCTGGACTCCCGTCCGGCTTGCATAACTACGCGGTAAGGTTAACCACCGCGGTGGCAGCAGCAGCCTCGTAGCGTTTTTTCTTCCTTTTCCTTTCTACCGTTTTTTTTTCTTGCATAAGGAAACACGGGCCTTATACGTACCTCGTTATTCCGACGATTTCTTTCGTCTGGTGTGAAGCGGCCTGCGTAATTCGCGAGGGACTTTTTGCCCTCGTCCCGGGACGAGAGATGTATGTCCTCTTGGCTCCATTCGCTCGTGCTACTCGTGTTTCGCATCGAATCCGGCCGCTTAACGAGTGTAACGTTTCCATTTTTGCACCGCGGAAAGAAACCGGCCAATTTCCCTCCCCGGCTTCGACTGACTGCAATTAACGGCCGCAATTAACGACGTCAATTAACGTCCGACGCGGCGACTGCTGCCTTCAACGTCGCGTCGATCTTCGATGTGCGGAGCCGCTCCTTCTTCTACTTATTAACCTTTAATCACGTCTAAAAATCTCAATTGCGCGCACCTCTAATTATCGAACGCGCGTCCGTTTCTTCGCTCTCGCGACAGTGAACTTGCGTCTGCAAAACTGAACTCTCGCGCCCCTCGATTGACTTTGCATGACAAGACAGAATTTTATATTGCCCGCGGGCTCCGACTTCAGCTTGAAAAGGAAACGAGACGGTATTGTCGCTTTGCAGCGTATTTCGGGTGTCGCTGACACAAGCAAAATCCGGGCGCTCTATTCTCAATTTACCCTGCATGTCTACCTGACTTTGACGATCACCTCGGAGTCGCGCGTGCATTACGAGTCGGTTACGAGGCTGTGGTCGGTGAATGAGTGAGTGTGTGAGTGCGTGCGTGAGCGAACGAGCGTTGTGCTCGCATACGTGCGAGAATCCATTTCGCGCAGGAGAGGGACGCTGTCAGGCCGTCCTCCTTGTGGGACGTACGAAGGGGCAGTAAAAAAGCGCGCACCTCCTTCACGGGGCCCGAAAAAAAGGCATCGGCCGGGGAGAGGGAGACGTGACAAGACGCAAAAAAGGCGCTCGGGCGAAACGGGAGGCCGTAAATCTCGGCCTCTTATTGGGAAATCGAAATTCGTTTTAAGAAAGCTGTCGGCCGCGCCGCGAGAAGACGCGAACGGAACGAAGTAACGAGAGAAAGAGAGACGACCGATGCCGCTTGATTATCATAAATCTGCTTCCGCGATCGTCGCAACGAGGATGCGACTATCGCCACGAAGCGTAAGCTCCGACATTTTACTGGCCTCTCTCGAGGATGCTCTCCGAAAAGGATCGCTCCTCTTTTTCTCTCTCTCTGTGCGGTTTATTTAAAATAGAAATAAAGAAAAATTAAGAAAACAGCATAAAGCACACACAGTTGCGTTGCGCAAACGGTTGACAGCGGCAGTCATTACGACAGTCATGTCGTCGTGTCGCGTTTTCAAGTCAGATACATGAGATACTCAGACGAGACTTCTCTCTTCGTGTTGTAGCGGTGCGTAGTAGTGACATGCATCCGTGTGCGTTCCTCTTTCTCCGCGTGTCGTTTCCACGCGACGAGCGAAAACACGAGCGGCGACGAGGAGTCGCGTCGCATCGCTGTTGGAGACTTCAATGCCGGCAACGAGATACGCGCTGCTAGATTATTGAACTCTCTGCTCCTCTTTCATTCTCTTCTCTCTCTCTCTCTCTCTCTCTTTGTCGACATCAGAGATAATTCTATTGGGTTCGATGACAACTAACAATCATCTCTAGTTATCGTCTCTTCTTTTTATTTACACTCATGGTACTTTTCTATTCTTTCTATGTTATCATTTTTTCTTTTTTTTTTCTGAAGTGAAAATGCTCTTATTCATCTTTGCATCGGTGATAATTAAAAATGTAAAAAACTTGACTTGTATGAAGAGACCAATATCTCGCATAGGAATTTTCTCAGATTTTCCCATATTCGACATAGATTCCCATTAAAATACCCAAAGTTATCCCAAGATAAGTTGTCCTATTATGATATCAATCAGAAAAAAACCACATTTTTATTCCAAACATGGGTGAAGCACGATGCTGATTGGCTATGCGCTGCGGCGTACGACCATCGTTGCCAGAGTCGAGTGATAATTTTACTGAATATATTAGATTAGAAGATTAATACAAGCTGAATTACATTTTCAATGTTATTATATGCTTAATATATACGCATAACTTTTGTGTGTGTATAAGTATTTTAATAATTATTATATACTAGTATATTTTATTCAATTTCGTGTAAAATAGAAATCAGAAAAAAATCTGTAGGGAAATGTTTGACTAAATAGAATCTGTTTAAGTTTCCCACTTAGAATTGTACATGCTTGAAGCATTACATTTTTAATCAAAACCTGCGTAGATTTTCTAATCAGAATCGATCATTATTTTAAGAAGTCGGACCCCATCGGATCTCAAGAAATTTTCTATGCGAGATGTAATAAAAATATTGTGAAAAACTTGTCCTAAACTGTTATTGGCTCATAACGTTCATAACGTTGTTTTATGTTGCCGCGATGAAATGGTGATATTCGTGGCAGCTGTAACAACATCGTCTGTCTTTCTTCGCCATAAGTCGGTGAATGTAGACGATATCTCCGTATAAGTATCGAATTTCGAGTTGGACGACAACACTGCGAACCCCGTTCTAGGATTAGTTTTTCGTTCGATTATTACGCCCGATATGTCAGATTTCAACGTTGCTATGAGCAATCTTAATGAATGGCGAGCGTGTTGGCTCGATACCAAACGACCACGCCGGAATACTTGGAACTCGCGACCGCGGTTTATTCGTCATATCGCCGGAATTGCCAGCGTTGGGATATGCTTAGTAGGTGGATCTAAATGCGTCATTGTCGACTGCGTCATTCGAAGAATTCGTATAGTAAAATCTGCCCGTCCAAACGACGCCGTGTCGCGACACGTCTCTTTCCGCGAACACGCGTCTATGTCTAGGTAACGCGCGACACACCTGATCCGTC